AACGTCTAGTCGGGGCAGGGCGACATCCGGTCGGGGCAGGGTAATGTCCAGTCGGGTCAGCGCGACATCCGGTCGGGGCAGGGTAATGTCCAATCGGGGCAGGGCGACATCCGGTCGGGGCAGGGTAATGTCCCGTCGGGGCAGGGCGACATCCGGTCGGGGCAGGGTAATGTCCAGTCGGGACAGGGCGACGTCCGGTCAGGGCAGCGTGACGTCTGGGCAGGGCAGTGGACGTCACCTGAGGAGGGCCCAGCTGCATCTTGAGGGCCCTGGGGTGATGGAAACCCCAGGCTTGCGATGCCTGCGTGACGGGCGGAGTCCTCCCTTCGGCCCCACCGGCGCAGTCCGGCGCTGGGCCCGGCCCGCCCTGCAGGGGGCGCTGCCCCGGCTGCTTTCGCGGCCCGCGAGCCTTGCGCCCCGGAGGGCGGAGCCCGCAGCCGCCAGAGCTGAGGGGAGAGGGCGGCCTCGGCCAGCCGTCTAGGGCCGGTTTCCCGGGAAGCCGCGTCCCGATGCGGCGGGGCACCGGCCCCTTGGTCCTCCGTTCGCTGTGGCCCTGAGGAGAGAGCTCGGTCAGGGCGGCCGCGCGCCCGCGCCGCAGGGCGGGGAGAACCCCGACGCCTGCGAGGGGTGGCGGGAGCGCCGCGGGCTCCTGCACCCCCGGGGCCGGGTGAGCGGGCTGCCCGTCCCCGGTGTACGGAGCAGACACGCGGGAGCTGAGTGTCTTCCGGCCCCTCCCGGGGCCCCGCGCGCCCGCCTTGGGAATCGCGGAGGTGGGCGTTCGGTTCACCCGGCCGGCCGAGCGCGGTCTCGGGAGCACCTCCTGGCCGGGCGCGCGCGGCTGCGGCGGTCCCAGGCTGCGAGCCTGGCTGCGGGGCCGGCCGGCCGCCCGGGGCCTGCGCGTGTGTGACCTGAGGGTGGCACTGTGCGCGACTGTGAACGTGTTACAGCGCGGCGCCTGTTTCTCGACTGACGCGGCGAGCCGGTGCGGACCGCTCTGCCCCGAGCCCTGCCTGCGTCTGCCTGCCTCCCGGGAGACAGGCGCGTAGCCAGGAGCGGTGCACTTCGAGCAAGTTCCCTGCTGTCTGATCGGAGGCTGCCTGCCCGTCATAGCTTCGTGAGGGGAAGAAGGAATTTCTGCAGCGTTTCAAATCCTCGGGGTCTGTACCCTAGGACTGGGATAAGCCCGTCCATTCACTGTCTTTTTGAAAGCACGCGTCTCTGCCCTGCCACTGATCTTTTTTGTGGAAAGGTGTTTGGGGTCGTGTTGCATCACAGCGCCAGTCAGAATGGAGCCCGAGGTCTTGGGGTCGCCCGGATCCCAGCTTCGTCCTGCTGCCTTTCCTTCTGCCCTTGGGTCCCCGAGTGTTCTTTGGCTTCGGCGACACGGTAGAAGGAAAGAGAGGAAAAGAAAAGAGACAAGCTCTCCCGTCTTTGCAAAAGGCATGCATCAAGCTAAAAAAAAATTTTTAAAGTAACTGAACACTAGTAAGGCAGGCACAGGTCTCCTGATGCGGTTTCTGGAAGTAGTGGCTGCCCGTAGGTTGGCACCAGCCTCCCAACGCCTTCCACCCAGGCGTCCAGCCGCCAGGCCCTGGCTCTCTGCGCGGGATGTTAAGTAGGCCTGGCTCTGCAGGAAGAGAGAGGGTCTGTGTAAAATGGAAAGCATTCTCCCGAATGGCACAGAAAGGTCTTTCACTGCTGTGCTTTTCCATTCAGCTTTTGCCAGCTGAGAATGCTGGGAATGTCAGGAATTTTCTTCTCTACTTCCTTCTCCATTTGAGTCCTCCCAGGCCCACTGCTGGTTCGCTTTGGCTTCTGTCCTTGACCCTCTCTGGGCTGCCTTCCCCGGGAGGGTGACGGCTTCTGCGGGGCCTTGGTGCCTGAGGCAGAGTGGCTGACCCTCCAGACCTGGCTCCTGGCTGTGTCCCGCTCACCGAGGACCCAGCGTCCTCTGCAGGCCTTGCTTCGGAGCCGTCCCTCAAAGCCCACTGCCTCGGGCTTCTTTGAAACCTCACTTTTTTTCCGCCCAGCGCATTCCTGGAGAGCAGAGCTTTGCTGCTCTGACCTTTACAGCCCGCTGATCTGTTTAAGGAATTTTGCCTCAGGCAGATGGGGTGGTCTGAAGGATTGGGAGGGTTCCAGGAATCCCGTTTTCACTGTGCTGCTGTTACGTGCGATTTGGGGTTAGAAGGAAGGGGAAGGAGGAAGGAGGAAGGTGTGTGTTGCAGGTAAAGAGTCAAAAAAGAATCAAGATAAGCAGACTCCGTCCCGAACTCGCCTGCCAGCCCTTGGCAATGAATGTTATCGCCCTCTTGAGGAGCTGGGGTCACCTCAGCCGGCCGTGACCCCTCCTCACCTCTGAGCCCAGTTCCCTTTGTACCAAGCCCCAGGGAGCGCTCTGACCACACACAGTAGGTCCTTGGATGTTAATAAATACTACTTGAAAAAAAGATTAAAAAAAGATGAAAATTCTGAGTTAAATCCAAAATAGGTTTCTTTACTACAGAAAATTCCAGAGCTTTTAATGTACTAACAATACTGTATAAATCTCTATCAGAGAGCATTAATATATGTAATGTGTCTCAAATTTATTTTACCAGGAAACTTTTTTTTTTTTCAAAAAACACTTCAAAGGCTTAACGTTCTGTTGGAATCCTTGAGAAAACACCAAAGTATGCCAACTTGCCTCAGGTGCCATTTCATATTTTCCACAAATGTTCAATGACTGCCCCATATTCCGTGATTAAACCAAAGTTTGTTTGGTGTCCCTGACAGACATTGAGATTGTTTCAAATGATACAGGAAAATAAAGACTCCCAACCTGAACGATATCTGGGACGAGTTCGTGTTCTCTAAAATCGAAGAATGAATTTTAGGAACAACGGAGGTTAAGGGCAGAATATATTGAGGGAAAGCAAGCTTCTGTCCAATTGAGGGACAGAAGAGGGGCTGGGGTGGGTTGCCCATAGCTCTGTCTTTTCTAGGGAATTTTAAGAGCAAAACCACAAGGCGAGGCGGGTCTAAGATGGGGGAAAATGAGAAATTACAAGGTGGGCGTGAGGTGGGACAAAGCTATGGTCAGCCAATAAGATTACAAGTATAATTGTTCAGGTAAAATTGAGTAAACTGGGATCAAATGGGGAAGCAAGTCACATAGCAAGCGGGCATGAATACAGAACAGGGGCTTTTCCTCTAAGGGGTTGGGTCAGTGACTCTTCAAGGTGATTGCTACTCATTTAGAATAATCAATCCCTGATGTCCATCTCTAGGGGGGTCCTTGGGTGCATTTGTTTAATCTTTTGTCTTGCCGGGTATGGTGGCACATGCCTGTAATCTCAGCACTCGGGAGGCTGAGACAGGAGGATCATTGTGAGTTTGAGACCAGCCTGGCCTACAAACTGAGCTCAAGGCCAGTCTGAACTGCATAGCGAGACCCTGTCTCAAAAAGACCAAAAAACAAAAGACAAAAAAAAAAAACAGTCACGTGCATGATGGGCGTAATCAACTATTTCTCTTTTCAAAATTTCCTATGCTGCCTCTAAACCATTCAGTGACACCTGAAGGTTATCTGACTGCAGAAATTTGGAGCCTAGGTACTTTGTCAGGGATGTAGAGAAGAAAGGATTTTAAATTGGCATCTGTTGTGCTTAATGCCAAATAACTTCTCAAGGTGAGATTTAAAATAAAGCATTGTCAACCTCTGGTGGTTGTGAGCTTAGTTTCTAGAGGAATCTATTTTCTGTGAGCACCCCATCCTTCTTCATTCTGGCCCCGTGGAAGTGGAATCCTGTCCTGTTGAATGTGGAGGTTGATGCTGGTGCATTTGTTTCATCTTTATAGGGGGAAATTGTAAGACAGAACTGCAAGCTCAAGGTGATTTGTCTCTTTGTCCTCCACAAATACTACCTTTTGGTTAATGCATTGTTGGGTTTCAGAAATGAGATGTGAACTTTTAACTCATTAAAAGCCCCAAGACTCCAGCAATAAAGTCCTTTAAGTGGCTTCACCAACAGATTTATTTCAGAGTGATTCCGTTTGGAGGAAGGAAGGAAGGGGGCATGCATCAGACACCAAGATCTTTTCAATAATTCAGGAGACCTGCACATGCTGACCGCTTCAGAGGCGGCTCCGATTGTCAGAGCCCGAAGGGACTCTGCCTCAGACCGTGGCCGCAGTTTGCCTCTCTCGCGCTTGACTTCTGGGAAATAAAGTTTCTGCTGACTCTCCTTCTTAGGTGCAGACTTTTGAAAATTAAAAATGGCTGTTTTGTGTAACGGCTGAAAGGACACTTGATTTACACGCCCTGTCCTTAGGAAAGCAGGGCTGCTGCAAAGGTACACTGCTTTTCCCTCCCTTTGGGCAGGAATTCCAGTTGTTTTGTGTGAGGAGCGGATTGTTAAAGGGTGGGATAAACTAAGCGTGCTATGACAGTTAAGCTGGATGGGCAACCCAGGGCCTTAGTAAACGTGCTTCTGAGTGTGTCTGGGTGGATCATGAAGGTGTGACCTTGGGGTCTATGTCTGGTCCCTGGCCCCTTCCTCTTTGGCGCTCCCCCCCCCTGCCCCCGCTTGGCTTCCTGGCTCCCATAGACTGAGCAGCTTTGCTCCAACACGCCCTTCCACCATGATGTTCCTGCTTTAGACCAGCTGACCATGGACTGGAGCCCTTGAAACGATGAGTCAAATTAAACCTCTCTTTTAAGTTGTGCATGTCAGGTATCGTAGCTCAGCAAGAGGAGTGCTGAGTAATCCACGTGAATTTGTAGAAGCGTAATACTGAGACAAGCATACGGTTTCGGGCAGTCACTGAATGGGGAAGGCACACGGCAGGTGCTGGCCATCCCTCCTGTGAGCTCTGGAGGGGTGAGTGCTGTGCACCTTCAGCCCCTGCACAGCTGAGCTGTGAACTCCCTGGCTCATCCGGAGCTCTCCTCTGCCCTTTCCGTTTTCCTGGACTGTGGAGGCTGCAGGGTGCTTTCCCTTCTGGACAGAGACTGTGCAGCGTGACTTGGAAGGGGCGAGGTGACCTGCCTCATTTCTGCCCCACTGTGAGTGCCGCCGGCATTGCTGTGTACTGACAGGAGACCCAGGGAAGCCCAGGTATGGGCGTTCCTACTGGGAAGACTTTATTCTGTGAGAAGTGTCGTATAGGGAGAGAATGGGTCGTGGCTTTGTTTTTTGGCCAAAAAGCTACAGGATCCAGACATTCTTTCTTCCCTGCTGCCCCTCCTCACCCTAAGAAAAGTGGCTGCTTAAAAGCCATTTTTACTTAAAATTACTGTAGACATTCACACGATAGTTTCACAAGGAAAAATGTAAAAAATACTAGAAATCCCATGAACATTTTGAGAAACATCATGGTTTTGGTGTGCATAGAGAGACAAGCTCTCACATATTCTTTACCCTAAATTATATTATATGTGCTGCTTGGAGAGTATGTTTTCATTGAATAGTCCATCAGAGATGCCTTTCCCTTATAAACAAAAATCTGCCCATCATTTTAACAGCCGTCGTATATTCCATATATGTCTTTGCTAGCTTTAGCTGCTATAACAAAAGACTGAGTGGTTTAAACAACAGACACTTATTTCTCACAGGATTGGGAATCCAAGGTCAAAGTCCAAGGTCAAAGTGTGAGCAGAGGGGATGACTGGTCGGGGCTTCTGCCTGGTTGGTAGACGGTTGCCTTCCTTCTTCTATCTTCACCAAGAAGAGACGGGGGGGGGTGAGAAGGGAGGAAGGGAGGGAGAGAGAGAGAGGGAGAGAGAGAGAGAGAGAGAGAGAGAGAGAGAGAGAGATAGAGAGGAGAGAGAATATCAGTCTTTTCCTCTAGGGAGTGCTGCTCCTGACTTCAGCCAAGCCTGATTCCTTCCCAAAGGTTCCACCTCCAAATGCCGTCACATAGGAATGTAGGACTCCAACAGAGCTTTGGAGGACATGAGCATTCAGTCCTTAACATTTAATAAATCAATAAGTGCCTCATGATTGTCTTTATTTCCATTCTTTTAAGCTATTTGAACATGTTTTAAAGTATGTGTTGGCAATTGATATCTCCTCCTCTGTAATTTTATATATATACATACTCATCCCTCTATTGACCATTTTCCCCCAGTTGGCTTCCAAAACCCCTCCAAGAAATTTTTGAATGAAACAAAAGGGAAATTAAGACAGTTTCCTTCTCCAAAATGTGCCTCGCCTGTGTTCTGAGAATAATCACCCGGCTTGGGTTTGGGAGCCCTGGTGAGCAGCCATGCTTGTTCTGTTCGCACTGTGGAATGGAGCACACCTGACATCGCACTCCTGGCGACCTTAGGTGCGTGAGAAAGCTCCACACTGGGTCCCCGGGGCTGGCCAACGTCCGGACCCCGGCATGGCACATGCGCGTCTTGTGACCTTTGCCAGTGTTCTAGTCCCCTCCCTTGGAGCACAATCTTTTTTTGTACTGCTGTGGAAGTCTAATGAGATTGCACTGGGGTCATCATTAGTTATATAAATGATGAGCAAGATCAAGCAGAAAATTCACAGGATGGCAATCTTTAATATAAAATTTGATTTTTGGCTTTTTCACAGTAGCTTTCATGGTCTGTAAACTGCGTGCGTGTGTGTGTGCATGTGTGCACACGCGTGTGTGTGCATGCCCGCATGTAGGGGGAGGAATTTGTTATTTCATACAAGCCTGGAAAGATCCTAAGAGGAATTCACAGATGTTACTGGGGTGTTGCAGGTCCTATTGTTCAAAGCTGCTTGTTCACTCTTGCCTGGAACTGTTCCTTGTTTTCACACAGTTTCACTCGCTGGCTCCCATGTACTATCGAGGATCCGCCGCAGCTGTCATAGTCTACGATATTACCAAACAGGTAAGATGTCCCCTGCAGAGTGTAGATGCCGTGTTCGGCGACTCCTTTGACCTTAGGGGACCACATGGAGATGACACTACTTGAGTCGTGCCAGGACCTGGGGTGGGCCTGCCCAGTAAGGGTTGAGGGCTGCGAACACTGTGCCCGAGTGAATTTCAGCGATAGGCAGTGAGGCATCTCGCGTGTATCCGCTGGATTAAACAATGCACGTTCCCTTTTAAAATTGACTGTTCTTTTGCAGGGCAAGGGCATGCCTGCGAGTGCCGTATTTTCAAAGTCTGCTTGGGTTTTTCTCTTCCTAGTTTTTATTTTTTTATTTTTATTTTTTTGGTTTTTCTCCCGTACCGGGAACCGAACTCACAACCTTGTGCTTGCCAGGCAGGCACGTTTGCCGCTGAGCTAAATCCCCAGCCCCTCTTCTTAGTTTTTAAATCATCATGACTTTAACACACAATGATTGTGTAAACTAATGGGGTTCGTGGTGCTCTTCCCACACGTGCACACACCGTCCTTCTGCTTTCTACACCCCTCTCCTCCCTCTCCCAGGACCCCGCCCCCTTTGCAGAAGTCCCTCTCACGCTCATCCGGTCCCCCTTCGCAGCGCCCTTCCCCACCTCCAGTGACCACTGTTTCATTCTTTCCTTCTACACGTCTTAGAGTTATATTGATTTTCGGCTGGAGTCACAGCTATCCTATTAAAACCCCAGGTGTATTTCTGTGTGTAGGTGCAAAGGTCGTGTCTGTACACAGCAGTTTCTCTTTCCACAGTTTCACTCACGTGGGGTCAGTGGCCAACTGCAAATGTTAAAGGGAAAATTCCAAAAAGAAATAATTCATTGAAAAAAAGAGAAATGATTCATGAGTTTTAAATAACTTTTCTTACAGTATATTTTATACAGTAATTATTCTATTTTGTTATCATTGTTAACTTCTGACTGTACCTAATTTATAAATTAAATTTTATCATAGATAAGCATGTAAAGGTTTTGCGGTGATTCATAGCTTCAGGTGACCACTATATTTCAGTTTATCATGTTAAAGCTGAGAATATTATCATCAATAAGTAAGTGCAGTTGTTTGATGGCATTTTTTGCACTCCTGCAAACTGAGTTATTTACTGCTTTCTCTGGAGTGCTAATGAGTGCTTGTGCCCTTTAGCTTTGTGACCTGCTGCCATGACCTTTCCCACGTTCCTGGCACTCACGTGAATGTGGCTTTCGTGTTGTCTGACCCTGGGAGGATTTTTGTGAGGAAGAAGTCAAAAGGGAAGTGGGGCTCCCCACAGATGTGTTTCTCTCCTGAAGTAAACGTGGGCGTTCACTTAGTCCTGGTGTCCTTGCGCATGCGGAGTCAGGACCACATTTATAAATTATTGTTACGTATAGAAGAAAACCACCAATGTGATCCTTTTAACTTCTTCAAATCTCAGTTTGGGGAAAGGAAGCTTTTATAGCCCATCGAGGTGTGACTTACATAGTGTTAAGATGTGAGTCTCCTGAAATTATTTTTGTCCATTAAATTATATTGGGTTTGTATTTGTACTTGGTTGGAATAACATCTTGACACTCTTTTCAGTGATTCCCATTTACATTTTCACTTAGGATTCATTTCATACCTTGAAGAAATGGGTCAAAGAACTGAAAGAACATGGCCCAGAGAACATCGTAATGGCCATTGCTGGGAACAAGTGCGATCTCTCTGATATTAGGTAAGGGGCATTTAACGTGTGTGTCTGTGTGTGTGTGTGTGTACTGATATACCCTTCATCTCTGAGCACCTGTGGGTAATGAGGTATTATGCCTTTGCTGTTGTTTGTGCATTCAGCATAAGGACTTACCTGCTGGCAGCCACTGTGGTACTATCCACCCCAGTGAACAAAGGGGAACTGGCACAAGTTTGCTGGGCCACACGGTGATGGATATTCCATTCAAATCTCCTGTACACAGCACACGTACACAGCACACGTACATCCCTGACTGTAGATATCTTTAGATTATATTGTTTCAATAGTTTTATTGCTGTTTTCCACCACTATCATTGCTACTGATACAATTTATGTAGCACTTTCATATAGTAAAGGACCATTGAATTCCTAATGTTTTCCATAGCACCCCTGTTTGTTTTAGTTGCAGATTTTTTTTTTCTTTTTTGTCTTTTTGAGGCAGGGTTTCCCTATGCAGTTCAGGCTGGCCTTGAGCTCACTTTGTAGCTCAGGCTGGTCTCAAACTCAGGACGATCCTCCTGCCTCAGCCTCCCGAGTGCTGGGATAGTTGTAGATTTTAGCCTAAGGATATATTCTAATCTATATAATATCACTATTTTGTTCTAAGACCTAAATATGACATGTTTTATATGAGCACTTTTTTTTTTTTTTTTGTCTTTTCTTCCTGTACCAGGAATCGAACTCACGACCTTGCGCTTGCCAGGCAAGCACTTTGCTGCTGAGCTAAATCCCCAGCCCCTATATGAGCACTTCTAAGAGACAATACATCAGTGACAATGGATTGTGAGCTTCTTTACCTGATACCTTAGTCTGTTTTCTGTTGCTGTATCAGAATATCTGAGTCTGAGTGTCATATAGAGACATGAGGTCTATTTATCTCGCACTTCTGGAGGTTCAAGAATGTGACACTAGTCCCGCTTCATCATAACGTGGTAGAGAATTAGAAAGGGAGCCAGCTGTGTGCTGAAGGAGTCTCTTGGTGAGACAGAAGGGCAACGAGGTCAGGGGCTGGTTTCTATCTGTTTATAGCAACCACCCTGGTGGGAGCAAACTAGGGTCTGAGGAGAACCACACAGCTCCCTGTATCAGATCCCACCACAACCCGTTCACAGTCCATCAGGCCCCACCCTTTAAAGATTCCACGATGTAGCACCACCCACTGGAGCCCAAGTACCCAGGACCTGAAACTTTGGGGTAGCACCTCACGTGGCACCCAAACCATAGCACTCAGAGAGAGGCTTGTGAGGACCCGGGCCACACCAGAGATTTGATGCCTTTATCTGGCCGGGGAGGCAGGCTGTTTCACTAAGGAAATGTTATTCTTAAAGTCTTGCATGGTAGTCTCCCCTCTCTGTGGGGGTGCCTGAAACCACAGATAGTGCTGAACCCCCTACATACTATGCTTTCTTCCTACACTCATGGGCCTACAATAAGGTTTAATATATGCCTTAGGCATAGTAGACGATTGGTGATAGGCACTAAAAATAAAATGGAACAATCATAACCATCCACTGTAATAAAAGTTATTTAGGGGGCTGGGGATTTAGCTCAGCGGCAAAGCACCTGCCTGGCAAGCACAAGGTTATGAGTTCAGTTCCCGGTACCGGAGAAAAACCAAAAAAAAAAAGTTATTTAAAACTTTTTTTTTTTTTGGTTTTGGCTTTTCTTGGGTACCGGGAATCAAACTCACGACTGTGTGCTTGCCAGGCAGGCGCTGTGCTGCTGAGCTAACTCCCCAGCCCTATTTAAAACTTATGAATTGTGCATTTCTGGAAGTTTCCATTTCATATTTTCGGACCCAGATGACCGCAGTAACAAACACCACAGGAAGTGAAACCGCCAGGGAAGGGCTCTGCTGTCATGAGTTCGTGTCATCTCTGGGCTAACTTAATTCTCAGGAATTCTAGCTGTTGATTTTCGTAAAGGCAACTGACTGCGTCCTGCTTCTGGTTCTGCCAATCTAAATACGATTAAACCAAAGTTAAATACGTGACGAAGACTGATCCCGTGAAAGTTCTTACCATGGCACTTAATGAATTGCTCTGTTTCTGTGGGATTTTGCAAGCTTTAGACCGCATTGCGTCAGGCTGATTTGCAGTAACAGCCGTCAACAGCACCGAATCACTTGTTTTTCTGGGGCTTGGACAACTCTGTAAACTCCCAGACTTGGTTCAGATATCTGCTGTCTTTACTGTAATCCCAAAGCAGCTCGCCTGGCTAATGTTCCCCTGCTGGATGGCGTTGAGCCTTCCACGGCCTCGGGTAGGTGGCGTCAGCCTTTGCTGTGAGGTGGTGTCCTCTGATGCTGCGGCACGGGGTAGAGGGCCGGCGGGGAGTGAAGCCAGGCCTCAGCGTGTGGCTGCTGAGGGCTGGACTGAGTAGAGACCGGTGTCAGGCTGAGGGTGTTCGTCAGGATTCCCAGTTCCATGGAACTGCAACTTAGATCCACCTCACCCGGATGTAAGGTCCCTTGCTCGCTCACTCTCACCGCCTCAGCCTCAGGCTTCAGAGTGACATCAGGGGCCACACTGTCCCTGCAACACAGGCTTCTGGGCAGAACCCTTTTCTGCTAGTTTGGTGGCAGTGAGGTCTGAATGTGGCTTTTCGGGCTCCTGCAGTTCAAAGTGCTGAATGCATGTCTTTCCTTTCACTCCAGTGATTTCAGAAGGTTGAATTCTGCGGCGAGGAAGTGACTGTGCACTTCTCCTCCACACCCGCAGCCGGGTCACCAGAAAGAAAGACCGGTCGATCCTAGCACACATAAATTTCTAAACATGAAATATATTTCACGGAGATAATTTACAAGTCTTAAAAACTCTTCTTGAAGTGTATAGTGCAGTGAACTTTAGCACAGTTAGAGAGTGGTGCAGGCATTTTCACACCTGGTGTTAGGGCCTTTCCATCACCCCCACAGAACGCCATGCCTGTGTGTCGTCACTCCAATCGCCACCTTCCTCCGGCCCTTGGGAACCACTGACCTGTGTTTTTGTCTCCAGAAATTTGATCTTCTGCAGGTGAGGTCATATAGTATGTGGTCTGAAGTTCATGCATGTTGTAATGTGTATCCATACCTCGTTCATTTTTATATTCCAATAAGAAACCATTGTGTGGACACCTACATTGGATTTATTCATTCTTCAGGAGCAGAACTGCTGAATCATATGTAACTCTATGGTTAGCATTTAGAGAAACTATTTTCCAAGTGATTGTCCCCTTGTACACCCTAACGGCAACCCACATCCTCTTTAACACTTTTTATTATCTATCTTTTTTATTATAGCCACCTCCAGAGTGTGTGCGTGTTGTGTGTGTGTGTGTGTGTGTGTGTGTGGCAGTGTACATTGAACCCAGAGCCTTGCACATCCTAGGCAAGTGCTGTACCACTGAACTGTACCCCTAGCCGTCCCAATGTTATTTTGATTTGTATTTTCCGAATGACTTCATGAAGTCAGATAATTTGCATATCTTCTTTGGAGAAATATCTCTTCAAATCCTTTGCCAGTTTTTAACTGGATTCTTTGTCTTTTCCTGCTGTGCTGTAAGAGTTGTTTGTATATTGCGAATACAAGTACCTTCTCAATATGTTATTGAAGATATCCTCCCCTTCCTGTGGGTGATCTCATCACAGTCTTCACCGTGTCTGCAGAGGTGCAGACATTTAATGCCCAATTTCTCTTTTTCCCCTTTTATCTCTTGTGCCCAAGTGATCGGCAAATTAAAACCACAAAGATCTACCCTTATGCCTTCTTTAGTCTCAGTGCATATGTTTAGGTCTGCCCTGCATTTTGTGTTAATTTTGTGTACAGTGCGTGATAGGGCTCCACACTCTTCTTTTTCTGTTAGGTGTATAATTCTTCTAGCATGATTTGTTGAAAGTATGATTTCTTTGTTATGTATTTTCTTGAGCACTTTTGTTGAAAATTAGTTGACCATAATTGCTGCCTTATTTTTGTGTTCTTAATTTTATTCAGTTGGCCTGAACATCTGTCCTTAGGGCTGTACCAGAGTACGTTGATTGATGTGCTTTGTGATAAATTGGAAATTGGGATTGTAAGCCCTCCAAAGGTGTCCTGTTTTCATGATTGTTTGGCTATTTTCGGTCATTTATATGTCCATATGAATTCTAGGATCCACTGCTCAATTTCTGCAAAGAAAGAAAGAATACTGGGCATGGTAGCACCTGCCTGTAATCCCAGCACTCAGAAGGCTGAGGCAGGAGGATTGCCACAAATTCAGAGCCAGCCTGGGCTACATAGTGAGCTCAAGTCCAGCCTGAACTACATAGTGAGAGATCTCACTATGAAAAACAAAAAACAAGAAAGAAAGAAAGAAAGAAAGAAAGAAAGAAAGAAAGAAAGAAAGAGAAAGAAAGAAGGAAAGAAAAAAGAAAGAAAGAGAGAGAGAGAAAGGAAGAAAAAGGGAAAGATAGGCAGGCAGCTGCAATTTTAAAAGGGATTATGTTAATTTTTAGACCAGTTTGGGGATTATTGTCATTTTAAAACAGTGCTATGCTGGGTGTGCTGGCACACACCTGTAATCCCAGCACTTGGGAGGCTTAAGCAGGAGAATCTTTGGGAGTTTGAGGCCAGCCTGGGCTACATAAATGAGTTCAAGGCCAGCCTGAACTGTATAGTGAGACCTTGTCTCAAAAAGATTTTTAAAAAAAACCCCAAAACCAACAGAGTTATGTCTTCTGGTTCATGAACTTAAAATGCCCCTTTCTTTAGGTCTTAATTCCTTTTAGCAATATTTTATATTTGTAGTGCACAAGTCTTTGTTTTGTTTTGTCTCTTCAGTGCTGGGGTGGAACCCAGGGCCTTGAGGATGGGGGGCAAGCCCTCTCCCACCCCTGGGCTCTCAATACACACATCTTCCATTTTCTCGGTGATATTTTTTCCTATTTAATTTTATTCTTGGTGGTACTATGAATGGGATTGTTTTCTTAATTCCCCTTTGTCAGGCTCATTGCTACAGTGTAGAAATAT